AAAAAAACAAACTAAACCACTGCTTGCCTTATTTTTAGTCCCAGGTAAATTAAATCTTGAATTGGATTATAACTAATATGCTGCTGTTCCATGGTTCTGTGGACAGTGGCAGGGGTGTCCTGTGGTGCCATAGCAATTAACTTCTAGGGCAGACTATATTTCAGTACAGTGTTACTTGTTCATGGCTTAACCTGTCCTAAGCGAGACATAACAAGTATGAAGGTTTGTAAATAAGCATACCAGGACAAGCTATCACTCTGCAATAATTATTATATATGGGTGGGATTTTTTTCTATCCCTTACCTCTGGTAAATAACTAAATATTGTCTGACTCTTAGATCATCACCATCTGCTAAGGCATTTTGTATTTCAATGGAGAGAAATCTAATTTGAAAATTTCAAGGTCAGAAACTGCTGAGACTGAAGGCCAGTGGATGGAAGCTGTTGTCTTTAATAAATGTAGTAAGCTCTGAAGCACAGAACACTCCAAATATTTTGAGTGCTTGTCTCCTGGAGACACAGAAGCACCGTCCTTGTTTAACATTGAAAAGTTCAGTCTTGGAGCTTGAATATATTTTCATTATGCTTGTTTTCATTACTGTTAGTTATTAATTAAAGACAGCCAATATTTGATGACTATTGAAAGTCAAACTATGAGAAGAGTGAACAAGCATCCCAGGTGTCCAGAGATGCAGAAAACTCTTGAGTGATTGCTCCAACTTTCATTTAAATAAAAAGAGCTTGACTGTCCATTTTTGTGTATAAAGTAAAAGGTGTATTAGGATGTAGAAGGCTAAAATCAGGGTTTTTACACCCACTTTAGAAATGATTCATGCACCATTATTACATGCCCCAAAGCAGTGTTATTCAACTCAGAGTTTTTGAACCACATCATAGTCTTCCATTTTGCTTTCTCCTTGGCTTGGAGTAAAAGTCCTATAGGCTATCTTGACACTGAGGCAGCTGCCTTAGGGCACAATAATAGACTGAGTATACAGACAGATATACTGAAAGGACAGATGGGTTATCTCTATATTACCTTTGGTGTCCAGTGGTATAAATCAATTGTCTGTGGGTCTCCATAGTTATGTTTTATGACTAAAAGGCTCTTCAGCTGTTAGAGATTAAGTAGTACAGTCCTAGAATTCCAATTACAATATGAATGCAAATAATATATTTCAATTAATTTGAAAGGAAAATCTGAAAGGAAAATATTCAATTCAAGTATTCAATTAATTTGAAACAAAAATATTTTTTAGTAGACTCTCTTCATTTTTCTGGAAAAAGTTAAATATGCTTATTTTAGTGAGCTCCTTGGACATCTGATGATGCCTGTATCAGTGGCAGGGCGGGGGGTGG